GTGAGGGTGGGCACCTTGATGCAGGGGAAGGTGAGTTCCTGATGCTGATTCACACCAGTGTCATGATGAGGTAATCTTATCACCTTATTAGTGTACGATGAGTGGGTGGGCGTGGTGTGGAGGGGTGGGGACGCATAAGGGGTGGACAGCAAGGGGCGTGGTGTATGGTGGGGGGAGGGTAAGGGGCGTGTAGGGGTAGCTAAGTGGGCGTGTTGAGTTGGGCAAGAGGGAGGCGTGGTGGGTGTAGGGGCGTGTATAGTAGGCGGGAAGTGGCGTGGCACTGTGATGGCGCGCGCCACTAATCACTCTGACCTTACTGAACACAACCCATTATACAGCATAATTAGTGTTGCTTCCGTCAGCCTCACAGTCAAACACACTATTTACATTTTCTCTTCACATATATTTTATTTTATTCGTTTCAAGTGGGACTCGAATTTCAGCCTTGGAGTTGAAGAGGAATTTTTTTAGGAGAAATTGAAAAGAAATCGTGTTTAGCTGAAGACGAATGTGTTCTTATATAAAAGTGAAGGAATTAACCAGACGTGTTTGATTGTTTGGGCGTCTCTATCTCTCACACTCGAGTCCAAGATGTCCCCCTTGAGGACGGTGTTCGTGTAGCGTCGTCAAACTTGCTCTTGGTTTTTATTCAGCAGGAAGAGCTACACCCGCCACCTGGTGTTGGCCGTGTCTGGTGACCATCATATTAACAAGGCCGCTCTTTCGTGCCTTGTCCACACGCCACCCCCCACCTCCATATTGTACCGTTTTGTCCTTTATTAACGGTGGTGTTACTACAGGCAGCGTGGTGTGGGGGGAGGGCCGCTGCTTCAGATTGTTCAGTCTTTGACGTGTAACACAAAACGTGAGATGTTGTGGTCCTTCAGTACCTCACAACACACACACATCTCCTAGTTACCACATGCTGTTGTTATTAAAGCTCCACCAATGAGTAAGCGTCGCTGTCTCGTCCTTTGCTCCGCCGACCATTACAGTGTGTAGCTGTAGGACTCGCCGCCGTGTTTATGTTTCATGTAGCGACACTAAACTCCCGGAAATTTGTAGGTGTTAAGCTGGAGCGTTTGAGCTGTTGTTGTCGTCACCTTGTTGATGTTTTGTAGGTCCGTGTTGGCTGAGGATTGTTGTTAGTGTTTCATAAGGCATTAATAAACTAGTCATGAGGTTCTATAGGAATTATATCCTGCTTTTTTTTGTTCTTGTTCTTCTTATTGTTGTTGTTGTTCTTCAGTTGCATAATTCGAGTTGTGATTATCAGTAGAAGTTTGACGGGCTGGATTCTCTTATTGTTTCTTTAATTCATAAACAAGAACCGTAAACACAAGAGCAAAACAAAGACATAACAAATGAACTAAAAACAAATATATTGAAGGTTTAAATTTCTGGGATAGATTTAAATAGATCTTGGGTATATTTTCTCGTTCTTGGAGGTCAGGCCAGGTCAGGTCAGGTCAGGTCAGGTCAGGTCATGTCATGTTAGGTGTACCGAATACGCTAGCAGAGGTGGTCAGATGCCTTGGGAATATTGTCGAGTAATTGAGGTCAGGTCAGGTGGCCTCGATACCTGCTTCAAGGTGTAATAGAGGTGAAAAATAATGAGTTTCTTGATTGGATCTGGTTAAGTCAGGTCAGGTAAAGTCAGATACAGAGGCTGGGTGTATGACTGTGGGTTGATGGGTGAATGACTGTGGGTTGGTGGGTGTATGACTGTGGGTTGGTGGGTGTATGACTGTGGGTTGGTGGGTGTATGACAGTGGTGACAAGGATTATTTGAGCTTGACAAAATTTAGATAGATAGAAGCATGGTTTAGTCTTGTTCAGTTTAGTTTCAATTGTGTTTAGGTTAGGTTGGGTCATGTCAGGTACAGAGTTTGGCCAGGGTCAGGTGGGGTTAGGTACAGAGGCTGGCCAGGGTCAGGCACAGAGACTTTCCAGGGTAGGGTCAGGCACAGAGGCTGGCCAGGGTAAGAACATAAGAACATAAGAATGGAGGAAACTGCAGCGGGCCTATTGGCCCATACTGGGCAGTCCCGTTTACACCCAACCCCTATTGCTCATATAAGCATCTAACCTATGTTTGAAGCTATTCAGCGTATTCGAGTTAATGATGATATTTGGTAACTTGTTCCATTCATCCACTACTGTTTCCAAACCAGTGTTTACCTATTTCCCGCCTAAATCTAAATTTGTCTAATTTAAAACCATTGTTACGAGTTCGCTCCTGGTTGGATAGTTTGAGGACCTTTGTAATGTCCCCTTTGTTTAGCCCTGCCTTCCACTTGAACACCTCTATCAGGTCGCCTCTCGCTCTACGTCTCTCGAGGGAGTGCAAATTAAGATGCTTTAACCTGTCTCTATACTCAAGGTTCCTAATGCCCGGGATTAGTCTAGTCATTCTCCTCTGAATTCTTTCCAAAGATTCTATATCCATTCTGTAATACGGTGACCAGAACTGAACTGCGTAATCCAGGTGTGGTCTCACAAGAGTTTTAGATACAGTTTTAGGATGACTCGCTAGCTTTGTAACTAACACTCCTTTTGTATGAACCTAAGTGCCTTATTAGCCTTGCCGACGCAGCAAAACATTGTTTACTTGGCTTAAGGTTCCTGAAGGTTATCATTACTCCTAAATCTCTCTCGCGAGTCGGATTTCTCTTATGGCATTTGTTCATCTGGTATCTGCTTCTGTTTGCTCCTATACTGAGTAATTTTACATTTGTCCAATGTTGAATTTCATCTGCCATTTTCAGAATTCATTCGAAAATTTGCTTAGATCTTCCTGTAGTTTTGCCGAGTCCTCGCCAGATTTATTAACACGTCCTATTTTAGTGTCCTCAGCAAATTTACTTATGTTGCCAGTTCATGCCGATATCTATGTCGTTTATGTATATAATAAATAATAATGGTCCAAGTACTGAGCCCTGGGGAACTCCACTTGTGACGTTGCTCCAATGGGACTTAGTGCCGTTAATGCTCACTCGCTGTTTCCTGTCCTGTAACCACGCCCTAATCCATTTAAGGATTTTACCTTTGATGCTATGAGCTTCTACCTTTCTAATTAGTCTTTCGTGGGGGACTCTGTTGAAGGCTTTGCTAAAGTCGAGATATACCACATCATAATTGTGCCCCTCGTCCACCGATTCGAAAACTGATGAAAAGAATGTTAATAGATTAGTTAGACAAGAACGTCCGCTTGTGAAGCCATGCTGGGAATCATTGATCAATCGGTGCTTCTCCAGGTGATTTCAAATAGAGTTTGAAATGATTGCTTCCAGTAATTTGCCTACTATTGATGTTAGACTGATTGGGCGGTAGTTAGAGGATAGTGATCTATCCCCCTTCTTGAAAATCGGTATTACATTTGCTATCCTCCAGGATTCTGGTACTACACCTGTTTTTAAGGACGTGTTAAACAACTTTGCTAAGGGCATACTAAGCTCGTCCTTACATTCCTTAATACTCTGGCAAATATCTCATCCGGACCAGGTGACTTATTAGGCTTTAGTTTGTCTATTTGCTTACTAACATCGCTACTAGTCACTACTATCTCGCTTAATTTGTTTTCTTCACTATCTCTGAATAGAGTCGGTGCCTCGGGTATCATGTTTAAATTTTCGGTGGTGAAAACCGTTGAAAAATATTTATTCAAATTATTGCTCATTTCTCTGTCGTTATCAGTGAGCTCGCCGGCATCGGACCGTATTGGTCCAATCTTTTCTCGTGTTTTAGTTTGATACATTTGGTAGAATCCTTTGGGGGTTTGTCCTCGCCTCCCTTGCTATCCTTACCTCATTATTCCTCTTTGCTTTCCTTATCTCGGTTTTAACCCTACTCGCCAATACCCTATAATAGTCCCGGAGGTGAATTTCGCCACGATTTATCCTTCTACCTATAGCCTTCCTTTGGCCGATGATGTTCTTTAAATAATTATTTATCCATTTAGCAAAGGTGGCTGTCATGGGCCGTCAGTAAAATTTTAGAAAAATGAAACTTGATCCAGTTGGCCTACAAACATCATTTAGGGATAAATTTCACACATTAAGGGATGAGAAGTTCACTGGTGCCATCATGCCCAGAAATCCAAAACGGCTGCTGGAAAGTCTAAAACTGGCGATTTTTTTGCTAAATCCTCATTATTTTTCACTCAAAATTATTTTATCTCGTCTTAGGATTAATACACCTTACTGCATCATTTGCTTTACATCAAAGAAGATCAATCTCGTTAGCCAAGAAATCTTTAGATCAATAAGAAAAGCTGCAAGAATCCTTCAACTAAGTGGAAAAAAGTCTGAAAGGTGCAGTGAACTGTGTGGAGGCTCTTGCCAAAGAAGCATTAGTTGCCCATGATGCTGCGTTCCAGCATATGTGAACATGACGCTGATCATCAAAGGATGTAACGTCTAACAAAATCGCAATGTTACTAGAGATATCTTCAGTATCTGCAAAATTACCTTTGTTTTGCAATCCAGATGACAAAATCTGTTAACTCGAAGCAAAGTTAAGCAACCATTTTGGTCGTTTTATTGCATTCTGGCAACCAAACTACCATAGTAAAGTGGTGTATTTGTCCGACATTGCGCAACGTAAGGCAGTGGAGACTCCAGGATCCTTGAAGAAGCAGCACTCATTTTGAGGAGAGGAGTGCTAGAACATGGACAATAATTTGAGCTGCCATGGCCACCATCTACTTGTGATTTTACCTTATCTTTGGAATATTATCCCAAATGTTTTCTTGTACTGCAACAATTTAGTTAATTACATTTTGTAGGTTACAAAAGACCGTACATGAAGTGGGGTTTTATTTTGGGCAAAAAAAAATTCAATAGTCTACTAGTTTTTAGAAATGAAATGAAATGATTGTTATATGATGAAATAACTAGAAGTTCACATTCGCGGTTTCCAACAGATGACATTAGTCAATGATGGCCTGTGATGTCTGACATGTGATGAATAAAAGTTACTGTGTGCTTTAAATGGGAGCTCTTTCTAAAATACCATACTTATTCTTTGCAGGATTGTGGCTGGACAAGGTATCGGATTGGAGTTCGGGTAAGGTTTAGTAGGGTTTGTTACACCATCCATAAGAGTTCATGCAGTTAAGATTACATTAAATTTTTTGGTTTTAGCAATAAATGGTATTGAACTTGTAAGCATACTTTTGTCTTTATGGTATTTTTAAAGTAGCCATTTTCTGCTTTAATTCCTAAATAATCATTATGGTTAGGGAATGCTATTTTTTCTTATGATGTACACCAACGCTTTAGGACACCTTAAGATTGTCCAAGAGGCAAGATGATAACGACTGTTGACTGATAAATCATTGTGTAGTTAGTTTTCTCTTTATCTTGATGCTTATACTAATTTTTTCTCATCTTCCAGGATGAAGGCAGGATGGAGAGCTCCATGCATTAAATAATGGCCCCTGTAGTAATAAGTAAGCATACATTAGTTTTTATGGTCCATTTTCGTTTTATTGCTAATTCGTCAGTTTTGAGTGAAGGCAATTTCATATAGTTGGTTTTCCTTCCTGTCTTGTATAGTATTGAAAAATACTCGTAGTCATTGAAGACAATATGCTAGTGTATTTTTTTCCCGGGTGATAAAAGATGCCCTCAAGAGTTACAGCTGATTGGCTGTTGCAAATCTGAAATTACTTGTCTTAAATCCATCGGGGATGACTGCTTTTGATTAGCCAAATTATATAAAGATATTGGCATTCATCATTTCAAACAGGAGCACGTAGGAAGTTATCAGTAATCTTGTATATGAATTAACTGTTAAACTCTGGTAACAAATTAATGCTTTCAGAAGAAGCATTTAATATACATGTACTTATTTTTACCTACAATAAGGCATGCTCAGACTAATTATGTATCGGTAATACTACATTATGCAAAAACATTTTAAAAAGATCAGCATCACGTTAAAACTTTTAAACGACTGTCTGCAGAGCGAAAAATATTTGGTTGATCGCAGTCATATTTCCCGCCTCTGCTGAGTCATGTAATATTTCAATGTGATTCTGATCTTTTAAAATGATTTTTTGCATATTGTAGTACAGTATTACTGATACATAATTTAGTCTTAATATACCTTATTGTGGGTAAAAATTAGTATATATTAAATGCTTCCTCTGAAAACATGAATTTGCTACCAGAGTGTAACAGTTAATTCATGAATAGTACTTCTGATAAACATCTTTAGTGCTCATGTTTGAAATAATGAATGTATGCATCTTTATATTATTTGGCTAAATATCTTTCTCGTCGGAAACGGTCATCCCAGCGATTATGAATAAACTCGTTTAGAAATACATCATAACTAAAGGACAAATCGGACAGGTTTGCAACATTCTATCAGCTGTAACTTTTGAGGAGGGGGCAGGGTGTCTTTTCTCAGAAGAGAAAAAGCGCACTATAGTGAATGCTATTTTTTCTCATGATGTACACCAATGCTTTAGGACACCTAAAGATTGTCCTCGAGGCAAGATGTTAACAACTGTTGACTGATAAATAATTGTGTAGTAATTTTTTTCTGCATTTAATGCTTATACTAATTTTTACTTCTCTTCCAGGATGGAGAACTCGGCATTAAATGAGGGCAGGGTGGAGAGCACTATACATTAAGAAGTAAGCAAACATCTTTATGGTATTTTTAGAATTGGCCAATTTTTGCTTTAATTCCTAAATAATCATTATGGTTAGGGAATGCTATTTTTTCTTGTGATGTACACCAACGCTTTAGGACACCTTAAGATTGTCCAAGAGGCAAGATGATAACGACTGTTGACTGATAAATCATTGTGTAGTTAGTTTTCTCTACCTTGATGCTTATACTAATTTTTTCTCATCTTCCAGGATGAAGGCAGGATGGAGAGCTCCATGCATTAAATAATGGCCCCTGTAGTAATAAGTAAGCATACATTAGTTTTTATGGTCCATTTTCGTTTTATTGCTAATTCGTCAGTTTTGAGTGAAGGCAATTTCATATAGTTGGTTTTCCTTCCTGTCTTGTATAGTATTGAAAAATACTCGTAGTCATTGAAGACAATATGCTAGTGTATTTTTTTCCCGGGTGATAAAAGATGCTTGTTGCAATCTAAATTCAATTTTGTCCTGGTTTCAAATTATAATCGTGGGGATGACCGTTTTTGACAAGATATTTAGCCAAATTATATAAAGATATTGGCATTCATCATTTCAAACAGGAGCACGTAGGAAGTTATCAGTAATCTTGTATATGAATTAACTGTTAAACTCTGGTAACAAATTAATGCTTTCAGAAGAAGCATTTAATATACATGTACTTATTTTTACCTACAATAAGGCATGCTCAGACTAATTATGTATCGGTAATACTACATTATGCAAAAACATTTTAAAAAGATCAGCATCACGTTAAAACTTTTAAACGACTGTCTGCAGAGCGAAAAATATTTGGTTGATCGCAGTCATATTTCCCGCCTCTGCTGAGTCATGTAATATTTCAATGTGATTCTGATCTTTTAAAATGATTTTTTGCATATTGTAGTACAGTATTACTGATACATAATTTAGTCTTAATATACCTTATTGTGGGTAAAAATTAGTATATATTAAATGCTTCCTCTGAAAACATGAATTTGCTACCAGAGTGTAACAGTTAATTCATGAATAGTACTTCTGATAAACATCTTTAGTGCTCATGTTTGAAATAATGAATGTATGCATCTTTATATTATTTGGCTAAATATCTTTCTCGTCGGAAACGGTCATCCCAGCGATTATGAATAAACTCGTTTAGAAATACATCATAACTAAAGGACAAATCGGACAGGTTTGCAACATTCTATCAGCTGTAACTTTTGAGGAGGGGGCAGGGTGTCTTTTCTCAGAAGAGAAAAAGCGCACTATAGTGAATGCTATTTTTTCTCATGATGTACACCAATGCTTTAGGACACCTAAAGATTGTCCTCGAGGCAAGATGTTAACAACTGTTGACTGATAAATAATTGTGTAGTAATTTTTTTCTGCATTTAATGCTTATACTAATTTTTACTTCTCTTCCAGGATGGAGAACTCGGCATTAAATGAGGGCAGGGTGGAGAGCACTATACATTAAGAAGTAAGCAAACATCTTTATGGTATTTTTAGAATTGGCCAATTTTTGCTTTAATTCCTAAATAATCATTATGGTTAGGGAATGCTATTTTTTCTTGTGATGTACACCAACGCTTTAGGACACCTTAAGATTGTCCAAGAGGCAAGATGATAACGACTGTTGACTGATAAATCATTGTGTAGTTAGTTTTCTCTACCTTGATGCTTATACTAATTTTTTCTCATCTTCCAGGATGAAGGCAGGATGGAGAGCTCCATGCATTAAATAATGGCCCCTGTAGTAATAAGTAAGCATACATTAGTTTTTATGGTCCATTTTCGTTTTATTGCTAATTCGTCAGTTTTGAGTGAAGGCAATTTCATATAGTTGGTTTTCCTTCCTGTCTTGTATAGTATTGAAAAATACTCGTAGTCATTGAAGACAATATGCTAGTGTATTGTTTTCCGGGTGATAAAAGATGCCCTCAAGAGTTACAGCTGATTGGCTGTTGCAAATCTGTTCAATTTTGTCCTGAAGTAATGATGTATTTCTAAACGAATTTATTATAATCGTGGGGATGACCGTTTTTGACAAGATATTTAGCCAAATTATATGAAGATATTGGCATTCATCATTTCAAACAGGAGCACGTAGGAAGTTATCAGTAATCTTGTATATGAATTAACTGTTAAACTCTGGTAACAAATTAATGCTTTCAGAAGAAGCATTTAATATACATGTACTTATTTTTACCTACAATAAGGCATGCTCAGACTAATTATATATCGGTAATACTACATTATGCAAAAATTTTTTAAAAAGATCAGCATCACGTTAAAACTTTTAAACGACTGTCTGCAGAGCGAAAAACATTTGGTTGATCGCAGTCATATTTCCCGCCTCTGCTGAGTCATGTAATATTTCAATGTGATTCTGATATTTTAAAATGATTTTTTTGCATATTGTAGTACAGTATTACTGATACATAATTTAGTCTTAATATACCTTATTGTGGGTAAAAATTTGTATATATTAAATGCTTCCTCTGAAAACATGAATTTGCTACCAGAGTGTAACAGTTAATTCATGAATAGTACTTCTGATAAACATCTTTAGTGCTCATGTTTGAAATAATGAATGTATGTATCTTTATATAATTTGGCTAAATATCTTTCTCGTCGGAAACGGTCATCCCAGCGATTATGAATAAACTCGTTTAGAAATACATCATAACTAAAGGACAAATCGGACAGGTTTGCAACA